GAAAACCCCCGAGCGCAGCGGAAAAGTGGCTGCTTATATTGGGATGCTGGAGGAGGCGGTGTCTGATTTCCATAAGGCCCAGGGGATTGGTTTGATCAGGTGTGTCATTTCCGTAGCCCTCGAAAAACCTGGCCCTCCCACCTTAGCCCTTTACTATGCAAATGTAGGTCGCCATGATGTTCGAAACACATGGTGTTATCTGGAGGTGGCTATGACACTTGGTACACCTGGTGACAAGGAAAAGACGGCGGCAATCACCATACTGAGTGAACCCCGTTTCTTTTTTTTGTTTTTTTGAGACAGAGTCTTGCTCTGTCACCCAGGCTGGAGCGCAGTGGTGCCATCTTGGCTCACTGCAACCTCTGCCTCCTGGGGCAAGGTGATTCTCCTCCCTCAGCCTCTCCAGTAGCTAGGCCTACAGGCAGGCGCCATCATGCCCAGCTAATTTTTTTTTTTTTTTTCTCTTGAGACAGCGTCTAGCTCTGTCACCCAGACTGGAGTGCAGTGGCGCAATCTTGGCTCACTGCAAGCCCCACCTCCCGGGTTCACGCCATTGTCCTGCCTCAGCCTCCTGAGTAGCTGGAACTACAGGTGCCCACCACCACGCCTGGCTAATTTTTATATTTTTAGTAGAGATAGGGGGGTTTCACCATGTTGGCCAGGATGGTCTCGATCTCTTCACCTCATGATTCGCCCACCTCGGCCTCCCAAAGTGCAGGGATTACAGGCGTGAGCCACCACACCCGGCCCTTTAAGCCGCCTTTTCTGTTAGAAAAGAGATGGTTTGGGGGTTGTTTCTTATTACAGGAAAATTTCCACCCAGAACCTTACAATCTGCCTAAAATAACTTTCTTAATAACTCTTACATCACAAGGCCCTCTGCAATTTGTGCCCCCTGACCTTTCACAGCACCCCAAGTAACCCTGCACGCTGGACCCCTGGGCTGCTTTCCCGCCACCTCGTTCCTACTCAGCAGTTACCTCCTCTTGGAACACACTCCTCAATCCCCTCAGCCACCTGCCGACACCGCCCTGCATCCTCCAGCTCCAACCCTTCCCAAAAGTTGCAACCATCTTCCTTTCTCAGCCTCCTTCCAAGCCTTCCTCACCCCCTTCAGGCACTGCCCTTAATCTGCCTCCAGTGACAGTCACCTGCCCCTGGCTGTGCCCAACGTCTCAGCCCTTGCATTTTGCCAAGTCCCACTGAATATGTGCGGCCGATACCCACGTTAAACTTTAAAGCTGTTAAACTTTAAAGCTGGAAATGATGACGCTGTTCCTCACAGCTGCAAATGGTGCAGCCCTAAACAATGGAACTCAGGAAACGCCACCCTCCCAGCCCCATCCCACCACGCAGAGGCGGCCGGATAAGGATCTGGTGTCAGCACCGACCCCAATGCGGTGAGCGCGGAGGACAGAGGTTGTGTCTGAGAAATCTGGATGCCCTTTCCATGTAGTTCTGACCCAAACAACTCACGACTGCTCCGGCCAGAGCAGAGAAGGGAACTTGTCCTTGAAATGCACGGTGAGGGGAGATGGACAAGGTGCTAAGGTGTAATGGCACAAGACACCAAGAGCCTGCATGTATCTTCCGGCACGTGCTCCGGTGTGAAACTGCAGCGATCTGGATTTATGCCAGTAAATACGAAGAAAGGCTGAAAATACAAGTTGAAGAGTTTTAAGTCTTTACATTCTGCTCTGTAATCACAAATACGAACTCTCTGGACTGGCTGGGCACAGTGGCTCGTGCTTGTAATCCCAGCACTTTGGGAGTGGGGAGGGCAGACTGCTTGAGCCCAGGAGTTCAAGACCAGTCTGGGCAACTTGGTGAGACCCCCGTCTCTGCAAAAAATACACAAACAAATTAGCTGGGCATGGTAATGGGTGCCTGTAGTCGCAGCTACTCAGGAGGCCAAGGTGGGAGGATCACTTGAGCCCAGGAGGCAGAGGCTACAGTGAGCTATGATCACACCATGGCACTCTAACCTGGGCAACAGAGCAGGAAAAAAAAAAGAACTCTCTGAGCCCTAACGAGGTACCCAAAGGGAGGAGCCCCAGAAAACTGAGGCATCTACCTAAAATGCTGCTTTGAACCCCCCAACACACACAAAAGACAGGTTATGAGGGTGCCTTGCCTCCCCCTCACACATCACTGATCGGGGTATAAAGTGAATACAATCCTTGCCAAGGACAACTTGGCAAAGTTTACCAAAATGATTAAGACACTCAGTCTTTGACCCAGCATCTCCAAGGAATATTTTTCTTACAGATTCACTCATACAAAGTGATCTATGTACATACACGGGCAGTCCTTGCCGCATTGTTTGTGAAGGCTGGAAGTAGGCGAAATGCTGAACAGCAGGGAACTGGTTAAATACATGATAGGACATCCGTGTAATGGTAAAAAAGCATGAGAAAGCATTCTGTGTCGCGTTGCGGGACAATCTCTGAGACAGGCTGTCCAGTGAAGGGTTCAGTGCAGAAAGGCAGGGGCAGCTCCTTCCCCGCTGCGGGGCTGATTACAGAATAGGCAAGGATGCGGCTGCTTGAAGATTCAGTCTCTGTGGAAGTAGACATGAGAAGCCAGGACAATCTAGGCAAGGAAAGGCATGGAGTGAGAGGAAGGCTTCCCTGCTATGCCCTTTGGCGTCTTCATTGTGCTCCAAGTAAGCACGTTCCTATTTAAAAATAGTCCGAAACACTAATGGCTCATGGCCACTCCTTTCTTTTCCTCCTCTTCCTCCTCGTCTTCTCTGTCTCTTCCCCCTTCCATAACACCAAGTGGCAGCAGTATGTAAAAGCACGGGCTGTGTGTGGCGTCAGGAGCAGGGCCTGCAAAGCCGGCCGCTCTGTGCCTGTGTGTGAAGGCTCTCAGCTCTGCACACCTGCCCAGCCTCTCGCAGCAAGCAGGGATCTGAGTATCTCCCATTGGGAGCTACCGGGAGGATCAAAGCAGATAATCCCCCGCAGGAAGGCTCCCAGTGCCGTGCCCAGCACACAGCAGGAGTCTCCAAACTGGTTGCTCAAGGGCGGCCTGCTTTCAGCCTGGTCTGGCCCACAGAGTTCCTTTGATTCCAACGAGAGGGCCTCTCAAGGGAAGTGCTCTGAGCTAGAGGTGCGAGGGAAGCCCTGGGAGGGTGGCTCATCCTCCTGAGAGCACCAGCAGGGCTGGCAGCTGAGCGGGCATCCTTGCTGCCTCTACCCATCGCTCTGCTCCCACGAGGAGGAGACAGGATGAGGAGGTCCCCAGGCCAGATGTCTGCAAATCAACCAACTGCCTTTGTGGCTCATTTCATTGTGTTGTGGGTATCCTGATGCCCAAGACATCCTTGGCTGTGGCTTTGGAAACGCTGGTGATGCAGGAGAACCACTTCAAAGGATGCACTTGGACGAGAAGAAAGCACATGTGAAAGGCTTTATTCTCCAGTCCCCTCCAAGGGAGGCGTCCCCAGAGCGCGGTGGAACACGGGAAGCAGGGAGAGTGGGAGTAGGGGGTGCAGCAGCAGAAGGCTGTGCTGCTCCTGCAGGTCTGGTCATATCTGCTCTCATTGAAGTCCACCCCTGCACCCTTCAACCCCAAGCAGACTATGGAGCTATCTGAGTTCAAATCCTGACCCTACCACTTACTGGCTGTGTGACCTCAGGCACACGCCTCCAACTCTCTGCCTGTTTTATCACCGGGAAGACGCAGATACTCACAGCACCTACGCTGTACGGTTGGTAGGAGGATTACATGAGTTAACCCATAAAGCGCGTGGAATAGTACCTGGCATGGAATGAGTGATTAAGAATGGCAGCTTCTTGCCGGGCGCGGTGGCTCAAGCCTGTAATCCCAGCACTTTGGAAGGCCAAGACGGGTGGATCACGAGGTCAGGAGATCGAGACCATCCTGGCTAACACGGTGAAACCTCGTCTCTACTAAAAAAAAAAAAAATACAAAAAACTAGCCGGGCGAGGTGGCGGGCGCCCGTAGTCCCAGCTACTCGGGAGTCTGAGGCAGGAGAATGGCGTGAACCCTGGAGGTGGAGCTTGCAGTGAGCTGAGATCCGGCCACTGCACTCCAGCCTGGGCGACAGAGCGAGACTCTGTCTCAAAAAAAAAAAAAAAAAAAAAAAAAAAAAGAATGGCAGCTTCTGTTGATTGTCATCATCGTCATCATCATCCTGGCCAAGGCCATCCTCTCGCCTTAGCCCTCCTCTTGCCTTAGCCCTGTTCTGCTACATTGCCAAGTACCAAAGCCACATTGAGGGTACTGCAACCCCAGCATATGTCAAACAGCCCCAGCACCAAGCCTACTGCCACAGAAGGCCATTTCTAGAGCCACAGCATCCGCCCCAATCTGGAGTCTGCTGGACTGCAGCCTGAGATCTCAGAGTTCCTTGGACAGAGTCTGCTGGGTCTCCCCAGCCTTGCTTCACACACTCCTGGCCCTGCTTTTCGCAAGGCCCCTCTGGCCTTGACCAACTTTCCCCACCCCAGAGCTGGCATACAATGCAGGGTCAGTGGCCTTCGGTGCCTAGCCCTGCCCCTCCACGGGGTCATGCTCTACTCCTCAGCTCAGACTGAACCAACGATGCAAGTGTGGCTGCAGCCCCTGTCATCAGATTCACAGTCCAACACTGTCAGCACCAATAACAGAAAATCCATCAGCTATCCCCAAGTCCCGAGCCAGCATCTTCTGGCTTCCAAACCAAGTCGATTTAACATCTGACACTTGTGCCAAGAGTTGGCATCCAGAAAGGCACTCTCCTTTCGGCTCCTTCCATCCGCCTTGCTGACAATTCCCCACCCAGCCTCACATGGCGGACAGAGGCGAAGGGCTCCCTGCCGGTTCCCTCTGTGGCACCTGCTGTATGCCTGCCTCCCACCCATGCCCGCATCCTCTGCTCCCATCTGGACTGCCAGAGTGGACACCCGCAGCCCAGCACAGGCATCCCAGTCTCTTGGGACCACCACACACACTTAAAGGAAACGGGTTGTGAAATGATCATTTGGTCTTACTTTCTGGGAACAAAAGCCCGAGCAAGTCTCCACGGTCACATTGGCTTGTATCAGGGAGCTGGGGAAGGCGTGTGTCATGTTCTCTGGCAGTTGGAAGCACCCGCGGTAGGTGGCGGTCCGCCCTGTGGGGAAAGAGAGGGGTTTCTGGTAAGAGACGGTGTCCAGTTGTTGGTGCCTGGCACCAGGGAAAATGCTGGCTTTAGGTCCCGAGACAGGTATAAATAAACTGAGGAGGCGCAGATTTCAAATCAGGGAGGGAAAACGGCCCTGGGTGGGACATAGTCATGCTGCACTCCTAAGAGAAACCGGGCATCAGGACCTTGACTGTCCAGGGTCACCTACAAGGGACCACGTGGCTGAAACTGCAGCACTCAGCTCTTGCTTCTGTCAGTTCTCCATAAGTCATTCCTTCCTCCCTTCTTCCTTCCCTCCCTCATCCCTCCCTCCCTCCCTTCCTTCTTTCCCTCTCTTGCTTCTGCCAGTTCTCCTAATGCATGCATATCTTCCTTCCTTCCTTCCCTTGCTTCTGTCAATTCTCCATAATGCCCTTCCTTCTTTCCTTCCTTCCTTCCTTCGTTCGTTCCTTCCTTCCTTCCTTCTCTTGCTTCTGTCAATTCTCCATAATGCCCTTCCTTCTTTCCTTCCTTCCTTCCTTCCTTCCCTCCTTCCTTCCTTCGTTCGTTCCTTCCTTCCTTCCTTCTCTTGCTTCTGTCAATTCTCCATAATGCCCTTCCTTCTTTCCTTCCTTCCTTCCTTCCTTCCCTCCCTCCCTCCTTCCTTCCTTCCTTCCTTCCCTTGCTTCTGTCAATTCTCCATAATGCCCTTCCTTCTTTCCTTCCTTCCTTCCTTCCTTCCTTCCTTCCTTCCTTTCCTTCCTTCAACAAATTTGGATGGTGCAGTTACCAGGTGCCAGATTCCTTCCATGGTAGGTGACCTGACAGGCTGATCCTGTGAAAAATCCGATATCTTCCCAGAAGACGCATTAAAAGAAAAGCAGACATGGAAATCTGAAACCCGGCCAGGTTTGCTCTTGCCGTGCCATTGGAGTCATCCCACTGCTTTGCCTCTGTGCAAGGTTTGCCTCTCTCTGATCTCGAACTCCCACTCAATTTCTAGGAACACTCCTCAAGCCCATGTTACAAAGAAGCCTCCCGCCAAGCCTCCTGCTGCTCTGTAGAACCTCCAGGTGGAAACGTCCCGTGCCCTAGCTGGCTTCCTCGGAGCTGAACGAACTTTCTGGAATGTTCTTGCATCAACTGCTCCTATTTCTTCCAGACTCGTCAGGGTTTCTCTAGACGGCATCCTGATTCTTACCCCATGCTCCTCGCCACACGGGGTCTCCCAGGGCTGAGCATCTCCCCCGGCTCTCTAGCTGCCACACCACGTGGTGCAAGCAGAAACCGTCTCACCAGCCAGAATCCACCAAGTAGGACCAAACCCTGGATCTGGAAGCTCATCTCAATTGACCACAGCACTGAGGTCCATGTGTCAGGGCACGACCTATTAGGGCACAGACACCAGCCTAGTGTGAGGAAAACACCAGGGCTTAGGGTCATAAGTGCTTAGGTTCAAGTCCTTGCACTGCCAGTGACTAGCTCTGCAACTCTGCCATGTCTCGCGCTCAGACTCTCAATTTCCTCAGCTACATACAGCGTAGCTCCTAGGGTGGTCATGAGGAACAATGTATACCCACGCATATCCCCTGATGGGGCCGCGTCTCCCCACTACCACGTTTCTGCCCTGGCTTTTGGTGTCAAGGTCGAGGGTGGTGGCAGGTGCTGGGCTCACAAAACTCTTTCCTGTTCTTTGGCATGATTGGAGCCTCAAAGAACAAACATTGCAATGGACTGGGCACTGGTCCTCAACCAGCTCCACAGGGGTAGAAGAGACAATGGGGAGAGTCAGCAGGGCAGGCGTGATCCAGAGATGGGGGAGGGATCAAGATTCCAGCAAGCCCCGGGCCACAGGGAGAGACAAAAGGGGGCCACGGGGCCTCCAGAACACAGCTCCTGAGGGGAGGCTACATCCTGGGTGACCCCTGTGTTCTCCACACCCAGCCCCGATCCCGACACACAGCAGGCACCCACTATGTGCTGAGCGAATGAATGAACTGAATGAGATAAAGCAGGAAGGCACTGCGTATACTGCAACAGGTGAGCGATCCGTGAGCCGCTAAAGAAGGAAGCCTTGGCTGCCTCTGATGCAACTCTCAGGATACAGGTTGTCACTTGGTACAGTCCGGTCTCCCTCACTCCCCAGGAGGGAGCCTGAGGGCCACTTGGGGCAGAATGATGCCTCCAAGGCGAAGACGTTGATGACTTGCTCAGAACCCACTCTGATTCCAATCTGGGGAGCACATTCATGGGTCTTACTCCTTGTGAATGTTCCTTGCTGGCAGAAGCTGCAGCTCACAATGGTGGTCACCTGGTCACCTCTTGATCCTGTCAGTTCCTCCCCTCAAGAAGGGGGCAGGAAGGCAAGGGTACCTCACAGGGCGCTCCACAGCCTGCCCACAGGGGCAGCTAGGACACCATCTTCAACACTAACCATGACAGCAAGTCCAGCCAACTCCAGATCTAGGGCTGGCTTGAATGATTGGACCATCTGTCTCTTAATCCATGGGTGACCTAAAGCAAAACAACTGCCTCTCAGAACCAATGACTGGGCAGGCGGGTGGGGCTGGGAGGGCCACCAGGAGTCCACATATAGAATTGGTCTTACTTGGGGGTAGGAATGTTGTTTGAAACCAAAGAAATAAAAGCTCCAAGAAGCCAGCGTGGAGCCGTTTGGTCTTCAGGAAGCCTATTTGGATGTCCACGTGGCAGGACAGGACTCTGCCCGTGTGCCATGGCGAACCTCTGGGTGAGGTCAGAGCCTGGCAGAGTAGGTGTCGATGAGAAACTGTCGAGTTAATGGTGTCACTGGTGAACCTGTAAGCTAAACGGTGTGTTGTCAGTTTCTCCACCCCTGTCCCCATTTGCCCCATCTGGAACCCTGAGCTCCCAGACACATCCTGTTTGAATGCAAGAGGCACCTAAGAAGCACCGGTCAGCTGGGGTCAAACACGGAGCAGCTCTCCCTGGCACTGGGACCCCACAGATAGCTGCCAGCCCGGGTGGCTTTTAGGTTCAGCCACGGTTATCAGGGCTCGGCTTTTGTGCTGCTTGGAAAACCCATTCCCTGC